TTAGGGGTTTAGGGTTTAGGGGCGGCCTACATGAGCACCAATACTATGCTTAGGGTTCCTTGTTTATAACGATAGTACGAAAGTCCCTAAAACTCTATTCTGATAGTTCAGGCCCCTATATTACTGGCTTTCCGGGCGCTTTTGCGAATTGTCATCTACCCTTCGGAAACCCTGCAACCCTAACCGTGGCCATTTTGTACTGGTTTGGGTATGCAGCAACCTCAAAACCCAATGAAAAAAGACCTCTGCATTACTTGAAGGGTTCGCGTCGAGGATTCCTTCACGCCTTCCTTCGGGGGTTACTTCCCGGACCTGCGAAAGCCCTTAAGCGGGTTCCTACAAAGGGATCTATAGGGATTGTAGGGGATTTATACGGGTTTATAGGGCTTTGGGAATAGATCCCTTAAGGGTATTCCTATAAAGTACCCTTTAGTAGCTCGGGTCCCAAAAAAAGGGAATCTACTTTCAAGATCCCTCCCGGGGGTTGGAAGAGTTCCTGTAAGGGCTCCATTGAGGATCATTGAAGGGTTTCCTTTAAGGGTTTCCTCCAGGGCTCGGTCAAGGGTTGTAAAGGGCTCCTTTAAAGGGACCTCGTCTAGAACCCTATGGTACCCTTTCAAGGGACCCTATTCTAGAACCCTAAACCCTAAACCCTTCAAGGGTTCATTTCGGTGTGGTCCAATGCTCAACAGCCTGGAGGTAGTCACGTAGTCCAGGGGGCTCTCTCTGCTCACAGAGCCTTTAACCTTGTAGGCTTTCAGGGGGAGTGCGAGATGTGGGTTTAGGGTTTAGGGTTTAGGCGGGTTTAGGGTGGGTTTCGGCCAGAAAACCCAAATCCCCTAAACACTACATTCCTACTGTGTTTGTTCCTAAAAACCCATCGAGGTTTGGCTTCTTGTTTAGTGGTTCCTCCCGCGGGGTGACGAACCCTAAACCCCAAGCACTGCCATACCCCTAAACCCTAAACCCTAAACCCTAAACCCTAAACCCTAAACCCTAAACCCTAAACCCTAAACCCGAAACCCTAAACCCTGAACCCGAAACCCCACAGGAACGAGGCCGGGGAAGCCGGTAGGGGCACCGGAGGTTGCGAGCTGGGGTCGGGGAGGGAAGTGAGAGGAGCTGGGAAAGGCTGCGCTTGGGGTCTTAGAGATCCAGGTTTAGGGCTTAGGGTTTAGGATTTAGGGCTTTCAGGGTTTAGGGTTTAAGGCTTAGGGCTTAGAGGTTTAAGGGTTGGGGTTCCGGGTGTGCCAGGCGAAATCGCGCTTTTGTGGGCACATGTCGGCCTGCAGGCTTACCCACCCCAAGGCCACCCACTTAACTCAGGGCATACGGCTGTATATGTTTGTTCGGCACAAATAAGGCGAGAATACATGCACGACTGAAGGAGTGTGTTTTCGGCGCCGGATCTTCGCAATGTTGTTACTGAAGCTTTCCGTGAAGAATGCATTGTGGCGAAGCCTGGCCACCAGATAGGATTTCAGGGCCGTACCAGGGAAAGGGAGCCCGAGCCTGTCTAGGGAGGCCGCACAGGGCAGGGCAGGGCAGACGAGAGCGGGGTGGCAGGCGGGTTTAAGGTTTAGGCGTTTAGGGGCTTGGCCGTTTGGAGTCTGATATTCGCAACCCCCATGCTCCACGCCCAAGGCCCGAAAAATCTTCGCTCGAAATCGAATTTATTCAGTCATTCCTGGTTCAGGCTTCTCAAACTGTTCAACCCCGCCGAGAAGCTGAGGCCTACACACGGCAAACAAACCAACAGCTTGAACGGCAACGAGCTAGGGTTCAGGATCAGGCGGCTTCGGGTTTTAAATTCAGACCTGGTGGATTCCGAAAACCACCCTACACCCTACACCCTAAACCCTAAACCCTAAACCCTAAACCCTAAACCCTAAACCCTACAGGTCATTCTCATTGTCACATCCTCGAGTTTAGGGTCTTGGTCCCCCGCGACGCCTGTTTTTTACTCGCGCTGTGCGTCGTTGTGGCACAAGACATCTCCGATTCCAGGGTTTAGGGTTTAGGGTTTAGGGTTTAGGGTTTAGGGTTTAGGGTTTAAGCCTCACGTACCGTTGGCTTGGTCCCCCTAACAGAGATGCGGAGATGTGTGCGGCTGAATCTATCTTGTACTGTCTGTTCTCGTGTACTTTCCAGAGGGCATTGAGGATCGTCGGAGTTTGGATTCGAGATGCTTGTGTTTTAGCTTGAATGGTGACTCAAGAATATGGTGTAGTATACCCTAAATCCCCAAAACCCTTGCACCCTAAACCCCGTAAGCCCTAACCCTCATGCAAAATGGAGTCTTGCATCTGGGATCTGGAGGCAGTGCGCGGATCAAAAACACAGGCACGCAATCGGGGAACCCAAAATCCGAAACTCGAAACAGTGTCTAGGGCCTTTAGGGTCTACCTGGACCCCCAAAAGTAGATAAAATAATGGCCCAAAACCTTTAAAAGGCTAGTATTTTACATACTTTTGGGGTCCAGGTAGGGTTTAGGGAGCCCTTACGCACGTTAAGCCTTGGAAACGGAAAGTGGGCTTAGAAGTAGGGTCCGCCGAACGAGCATGAAAGTTACAGGTCTGTCGTCAGCGCTTCGACAGCACATTTTTAGCAAATGCCGTGTGAGTGGCTTGGGGTTTGGGGTTTAAGTTTAAGGGTTTAGTGGCTTGGTGTTTAGGGTTTAAGTGGCTTGGGGTTTTTTGGTTTAAGTTATTCACGCTTAGTGCTTGTTCTGCACCGCTGCTGAGACCTTCTACGTCGGTTTCAGAAGAGGCTGCACAGCGCTACTGTCACCACCAGAACCAGCATGACCCCAGGTCACGATGGAACCGTCGCAAAGAATGGCAGCACAAGCACAGGCAGAGGCTTGGATCTGCTGCACGTTCTTCAGCTGATCCTGCACCGCACTACTGTCACCACCATAGTCAGCACTACCCCAGGTCACGACGGATCCATCGGCAAGAATAGCAGCAAAAACACAGGCAGAGGCTTG